ATATATATATATATATATATATATATATATATATATTTTTTTTTAGTATTATTATTTTCTCTCTATATATATATATATATTATATTACAGATTTTAAGTTTAAATACATACTAGTAATGTACGATTAATTTTGAGCATTTGAATTTCGCAGCTGTATTCCTATTCATTTCTAATTAGTTCATTACGGTTTCTTTCCGAAATTCACTGCCAGTATTGAAAACCTATAGTATGCGTAACATAAACTATAGATTTTCAGTATTGGCAGTGAATTTCGGAACGCAGTACGTCACTACGCGTGATCATCACATTGCGTCTCATGAGTAATGGCTCCACAGAGGACGCGGTAATGCTTGTCGTGCGACAGCCAATCAATATGTTGTTTTTTCGTAAGAGCTAGAAAGTTATTACGGAAAGCAGCATATTGATTGGCTGTCGCGCGAATTACCGCCGCGCGGCAAGCATTATCGCGTCCTGTGTGCAGGAGCCATAATGGTATTATAAATTTACATCATAACGTATATTATTGAATTTTAGCACTGGCAGTAAATTTCGGAACGCAGCCCTGAACTACAGTTCCGGTTTAATCACTATGGTATAGACATCTTCAAATTTGCTTAGACGCCATTTGTGATTTTTGAAGAATACTTTGGAATTATTTCCAAAGAACATATCGAAGAGACTAAATAAATATAACACGATCACAATCAACAGTGGAACTCTTAAGGGACGTCTACGGCTGCGTTCCGAAATTCACTGCCAGTACTGAAAATTTATAGTTTATGTCACGTATACTATAAAATTTCAGCACTGGCAGTGAATTTCGGAACGCAGCCTACATTGGAAGTAAGCAGTAAGAAGTAGGAAGTAAGAATAAGAAATTGACCAATCATAGTTGATTATTCTTCTCACATTCGACTGTGGTTGGTCAATTTCTTACTCTTACTTCCTACTTCTTGCTATTTACTTCCAATGTAAAGCGTCTTCTACAATGGCAGTAGGAGTAGTAGTAAGAAATAAGCAGTAAGCAAATTGACCAATTCCATTCTCACGTTTCAAAAATAATCGATTGTGATTGGTCTATTTACTTACTGCTTATTTCTTACTACTACTCCTACTGCCATTGTAGAAGACGCTGTAGACGTCCCTTTAATCGAGTAATGGCATTGAAACTATAACCTTTTGAGGTACTTTTAAGCCAATATTGAAGGAAGAAAGAAAGAACATCACTACTACCATTTACTACTGTTTCTTCGCAAGAGAAACAAATTTGTTGATCTTAAAAAATAACAAATAAAAAATAGTTTTGTCTAATTGTTGACATATAAGATTAATTTTGATCAATCACGATGCCTGCAACGAATGCCCAGGATGACCCATATGCGCACGCTGCAAAGGAACCGTTGAAATTAAAAAGCGACCAGACAGTGAGCAAGAGGTTAGAATTTTATTAAATGCATTAGTCTTTATCCTTAATTCTCTTTTATTGATAAAAATGTCTTTAAATGTGACTTATAAGTTTTATTAACTTATAATTATCTTTTATCGGTAAAAGAAGGTTTAGAATAGTAATAATTATGTAATAATTATGTATTATCAAGCTATTACAAGATATTTTGTTTATGACTGATGTTCTTTTTATTTTCATTGAATTAAACACTTGAAACAATATATATAAATTAAAAATTTCTCTTCTGCAGGAAAAAGAAGAAGGATGAAAAGAAGAAGAAATTAGTAGAAGTATCAAAGATTATTGAGGAGGAAAAATCTCAAAAGATAGAAGTAAAACGAACAAAAGCTGAGCTTGCTTTCCAAAAAATGCAAGAAAAGATGGTAGGTCAAAAACAGTAATATCAAACAAATGTTTAAAATAAAAAAAATATCATTTTAGCATTTACAGTATTGTTGAAACATTGGGTTTATATCTTATTGTTCATTAATCTTCTAAATATTGTTTATTATATATGTTCCTATATTTATTTAAGTAGAAACAACAACAAACTAAATTCTTTGTCTTACATATATTTTTTATAATTTATTTAAAATAGTAATCTCTTATCTCAAATTGTCAACAATTTTTATTTATTAATATTGATCAAAATTTGAGATACCAAGTATATTTTAATTATTTATTACATTAATCATGATTAATTACGCAATTATTATTGTGTAATTAACTTGTAAATATTCTTAGTAATAGCATTGACTTTATTTTACAGCAAACTGAGAGAATCAAGGAGAAAGCTTCTAAGACACATAAACAGCGTGTGGAAGAATTCAATCGTCATTTAGATAGCTTAACTGAGCACTTTGATATACCTAAAGTTAGCTGGACAAAATAAATTTCTGTGTATGCTCCTATATATATTTATATATTGTAAATAATTAGTCTTAACACATACTTGCACACATACTTAACACATACTTAACACATAAAAAAAGATATCTCTTTAAGTAAGAATCACCTTAAGAATGTGTTAATTTATGCTATCAATATAGTTGTATTACTATATTTTATGTATTGTTATGCAATTATTTGTAAACTTAAGTAATTATTAACTAGTTAAGTCAATCTTATGAAATTTTGTTAACTTTAGGTTACTGACACATATCTGTGTAACTTTTCATTATATGTGTGTTAAAGGCTTAAGTTAAATTAGATTAAATTTTTCTTATTGTCACAAAAGTTAAATATATTATTCTTTAAAATATAATAGTTGATAATTTACGTTTTGGTATATAAATATAAAAACTATTATTGTAAAGTATAAAAATTATATTTATTTTATAAATTGTATATAAAAAATCCAATTTTTAATATTTAGAAAAATCATTTTTTGAGATTCGTCGTAACTTCTATAAATGGACGGATTTCTAATAAAATTTGAGATAAAGTATACTATCATATATATGTATAACATTATATCGTGTACTTATATGTGTAACATCAAAGATAAGAGTATTCTATTTTTGATGAGATATTAGAACAGTATCTTAATGGATTGTTATGTTAATATAAATACATACATAAATGTAATATAAAAAGTCAAATTTTAAATTTCATTTAATTTATATTAATAGACTTCAAAATTGATCATTTGATCAAATCTATATTGAATCGTAAAGTTCAATAAAATATTCTTATAACTTTTGGTAAACTGTATCTTAATGATCAATTTTTGAACAGCTTTAATATTATCTCATTAGTATGAATTTAAGGCACGTATTGCTATGTAATTATAAAATGGACGGAATGCGTTTAGTGCTAGTACTAAACTTTGTTTCAGCTTAAATGCCTATAGCTAAATTTTATAAGAATTAATAAAATGATTTGCTTCTTGTGCAATTAAAAATATTCACATTGGATAAAATGCTACTACTAGTGGTATAATGAATAAGAATGAGAAGTGGCTCTTTATATTAGCACTGTTTCCAAAATGGAAGACCTGAACGAAATTCTCTGTTGGAACCCAAGGATTGCCTCCATCGTCGAAATGCATCGGACATTGGTCACGTTCTCGTTCGTATTCCTGTAAATTGTCGTTATATTACATAATAATTTTTATTTTAGGTTACATGAGACAAAAAAATATTTGTCACACGTCACACGTTTCTCAAAATTTCTTCACGTGATGTTACAAAAAGTTTAGTATCAGATTTACATATATTTTTTATCCGTTCTACGTTACCATGAATCTAAAGAAAAATGTTCTCACTTGTAACTCCAGCGCAACTGCGGCATGTTCCAATTGATTAGAACTCGTAACGTCCTGATTGAGTTCGCAATACGAACCGACGGCTTGAGACATGAGCACTCTATTTAAATCAGCCCGCTGATAGACCCAGCAGCGATATTTGCTGTAAGGATCCAACTCATCATATGTTATTAAATATGACTTTAAATTCTCCTTCCAATATCCGATGCACTTCATCACGTAGTCCGGATCACCTATAAAAATTATATTACAATACATATACATTTATCATGTGTCATGTAAAACTCACTGTAAATATCAACCGGTTTTCCTAAGTGATCTACTGATAAGCAATATGTCTCGTCGATGGCAATCTCCTTTTGATCAGTACTGCAGACTGAGAAATCAGAAATATTCTGTTTACAATAAATATTCGGACGTGGAGATTTAGTGACACCACCTAGAATCCTAGTCTCAAAGAGAACATCCCCTTTCTGATGAAACATATATTTTCCGGCTATTGGGCAGCGCACCGGAACAGGGTTTTTCGCTAAAAAAAAAAAAGAAACAAATTTGCTAAAAAACAATGTAGCACAAATGAATCCGCATTTTGGTGAACTCGACCCTGTGAGTGGATATAGAATATGTGATAGAATTTGAATGTATATACAATATTGTTACCTAAAAATAAATCGTACTTCCAAGCATTTTTATTAGGAAATTGGACCCAGGAGCACACTGTATGAAAATCATCCTTTATCACCGCCATACCACGTCGGAATCTGATAATATTATGGTGTCGCCGCACGAAATCATAACAAATGTAATCTATTTGACTGCAAACGTTAATGTAGAATTAAAAAAAAAATATGTGTGTGTGTGTGTGTGAAGAATTATATATATATATATATATATATATATATATATATATATATATATATATAT